ACTTATTGACATTTAAGCAGAAAACTGAAGAGAATAGAAGCAAAAAAAAAAATCTTCCCACAATTTTTTATATGCTTTTCCTCACAAAAGAGCTTGAAACAGAGTTAGGGGATTCAAAAAAATACCAAAGGCCCTTGGGTTTGTTTTCTTCTTGGTTGAGCCAACTTCCTCATCGGGTCCAGATAGTTGGAAATTTAGATTTATTGCTCCCATAGCTTACTAGAGCTTCACAAAGAAATATAAAAATTTTACCAGTTCATTATTCTTCTAGCATATATCAATTGGGTTGTCCAAATTACAAGCAAAATCAGCAAAATCTCATCTAAGCCCTCAACATGTAGCTCCCTCTGAGTGGAGATTCAAGACTTAACTATAATAAATACAACAGCTAATGCAAAAGCTTAATACCATATGACGAGTTTAACATGTATCATTTATTTAATCGTCTAAATGCTATTTAGCTTTACTCTACAGACCAGGAGATGAAAAAGCCCTAGCAACTTTATGTAGTAGAATCAGACTTTAAATATAGAACTGCCTCCCTTAGGAAAGGAGCTTGGAAGAGAAACTGGGTATAAGGAAAAGGTAAGCACTACTGACCAGTTGACTAGGAAACTGAAAATGGGTATGTGCCTGGGTGCAGAGGTCAAGGACAGGGAGAAGAGGCCTCTCTCACCACATGCAACACTCCAGGATGCACTGCCAATCACACACCACATTCACATTGACCTCATGGCTCCATGACTCTTTGTTTCATTGCTTCCAGGGTTGGCCCCTGCTGCACCATGGAGGCCTCTCTGGTGGACTTCTCTGCCCTCTCTTTGGAGACTTTGAGCAGCCCCTACTGAGAATATTCTCCCAAGGCCTTGTTGAAAACTGACTGCTTTCTTCTGTGTGCCAGTTCTATTCTATTCTTTTGTGAATTCATTCTTTGACAACTTGATGATCTATAGCAAAATTGCATTTTTATGGACTGGGCCACAATCAGAATACTTTCTCTAAAGATGGGAAATAGCAATTGTCTTCTCTCTACAGCACCCAACTCAATAAAAACTGGAGGAGGTGCAGCATTGTGGCACAGAAGCTTAAACCATTGATGCCAACATTCCACACTGGAGCACAGGTTCAAGTCCCAGCTGCCCCACTCTCCAGCTAAAATTCAGACAAAGCCTTCAATCTGTTGCCAAGGAATGAACTGGGTGCCACTGCAGAGCTCTGAGAGGCCTAAGTTCTTACTGGGTTGGTGAGGATTCTACCTACAAACTCTTTAAGGTTATCCTCATTGATCCATTCTGTAAAGCTATCCAAAGTAATGCTGACACCTGGTAGATTACCAAACTGGTCCACACGCACAAGGAGCTGTGTAGGCTGACATCTGCAGGCCATAAATGCCATGACCTTGGGGAGAGTCACAAGTTCCAAACTAACTATTCACAGTTCTCACTGTGCAGCCTGGAGAAGGCACAACATCCTCCAGCTGCACCATTACAGCTAATACAACTAATGTTTGTAAATTGTTGATTAGGTCTGAATTTTACAACAGTTATGTCTGCTTACAGGTATTATTTGTCTACTACAACAGGTCTGTCTGGGGCTAGCATTGTAGCATAGTGGGCTAAGCCCCTGCCTGTGGCACCAGCATCCTATATGGGAGCTGGTTCCAGTCTCAGCTGCTCCTCTTCCAACCCAACTCTCTGCTATGGCCTAGGAGAGCAGAAGATGGTCCAAGTCCTTGGTCCCCTGCACCTATATGGGAGATCTGGAAGAAGCGCCTGGCTCCTGGCTTCGGATAGGCCCAGTTCCTGCCATTGTGGCCATTTTGGGAGTGAACCAGTAGATGAAGGTTCTACCTCTCCCTCTCTCTATCTGCAACTCTGCCTCTCAAATAAGCAAACAAATCTTTTTAAAAAGAAAAAACAGGTCTGTCCACTGAGAGTGTTAATCTGTTTTTGTTTTGTTTTGTATAATTTAAAAATTGGAATATTAGAACCAGTGTTCTGGCATAATGGTTTAAGCCACTGTATGCAATGATGGCACCCCACATGAACACCAATTCAAATCCTGACTGCTTCACCACTGCAGTCATTTCAAGAATGAACCAGCAGATGGAAGATCTGTCCCTGGGGTATAGTGTGTTATGCTGCCACCCCATTTTTCTCCTGGCTGCTTCGCTTCTGATCCAGCTCCCTATTAGTAGCCTGGGGAAGCAACAGAAGATGGTCCAAGGACTTGGGCCCTGCCACCCATGTGGGAGACCCAGAAGAAACTCCGGGATCCTGGCTTCAGCCTGATCCCAGCCATGACTGTTGCAGCCATTTGAGGAATTAACCATACAAAAACATTTTTGTAAAATACAAGATTTCAGAAGGAAAGTCAAGATACCAATGCACCGTACCAGTTATCCATTTACTCAGTACTGTTAACAGACATATAGCACTTTTATAATTTATAAAGTACTTCACATAGATTGTTGCATTATGTGCTCATCATCACAGTAACAGGACGGTAGGTATTCCCCCAATTTTACAAGGGAGGTTCAGGGAGTGTGAGTACCAGTGTTTGGTAAATCGAAGAGCCTGGGTTCAGTCTCCTTGCTTCTGACTCATGTTGTTTCTATAGCATCCTAACAGTGTCCACCAAGGAAAATCGCAGCAAAACTAAAAGGGCCTTATACATCCATAGCACCCATTCTGGTCAAACCCAGTGAATTCTCACACTACTGACCTGGAAGAATTGTGTTACATCACAGCTACAAGAATCAAAACTGAAGAATTCAGTTGCATAAGAAATACTGGGGTCCACACAGTTCTGTATTGTCACATGCAGGATTGTCTGTATTGTCACATATATGATTAATAGCTTCAAAGTCCAACTATCATTACAAGCACCTTAGGCTACTTTCTGTAAGTAGCTTCACCAAAACAAACAGATCTAAGGATATTCCCCCCACCCCTCTCTCTGTGTCTGTGTGTGTCCTCCCTCCACCCCCAGGACATACAGAGGTGCTCTCTGGAAGGCTGCTGGCTCATGACTGTGTCTGATTCAGGGCCTACTTTTTTGTGAGGCATAAGCAGAGTAGATAAAATGGGTTAGATCCCTGATACTTTTAAGGACTCACAAAAATGTTTTAGCTTTCATTTATTTTAAAATCAGAAAAAAAAAATCATGGTAATGGATCCAGACTAGATTATATGTTTTCACTGTAGTGCAGTAATAAAACAATTTTTATTATTTTTATGTAGGAAAAACGCAACAAAGAGTACCTACAACTCAGACATAGCATAGCTCTGATCTGATTCTTCCTAAGCAACCCACAAACATAGGAAGGGTTTCCCTGGTGAAGTGAAGTGTGCTGGTTCCACAATCCCCTCATTTCTAAATGAAGAACAACTTCAGCTCGTTTCGACTAAGCCCTCAAGTATCTGCTTCCTTTGCCTCCATCTTACTGAGCTAATCCAATATGCACTAGGTATTCTACACATGCACAAAGCTCGTCCCGACTGCCTTGTGGAAAAGCACAAAGATGCTCTAAAATATTTGTCTGAGTTTCCACACAAGCTGCACAGAATGGATGAATTCCAAGAAACAAAATAAACTACAATTACTATGTTTTAAATATTTGAGTCTATTGGCTAGAATTTTTCACATCTTGAAGAAAGTAAGACTGATGTGAATATGGAGATAATAAAAAGTAAATCTTGGAGAAAATTACTGGTTTTCCACAACACCCATATCTGGTTTGTCCTATTTTCATACACATCCTCAGTGGGTGATCTAAGCTTCCTAGTAATGTTGAAGCATATTTAAATATAGGTACGCCTTCATTCAAGTGTTGTAGGCATGAACTATCTCCTTGCAGTCCAATATCATAATGTACAACAAAGGAATGGACTACACCATGAGATAATTACTGATGGAAGAAGTTAACCACCTGTGGTGGGTGTTATTACAAAGAGGAGCAGGGCATAAACTCTAACACAGCCTTTAGTTTCTAAAGAGTCTGTGGTCAAAAAATAAAGAATATGGTAGGAATATATTAGATACACATCCAGTGTAGGAAAAACTTCATAATGTCTGTCACTGACTATAGGCACTGTAAAGATGCAATGTTAGGGGCCAGCACTGTGGCCTCATAGGTGAAGCCTCTGCGTGTGGCACCAGCATCCCACGTGGGCACCCGTTCATGTCCCGGCTGCTCCACTTCTGACCCAGCTCCCTACTATGACTGAGAAAGCAGTGGAAGATGGTCCAAGTGCTTGGGCCCCTGTGCCCATGTGGGAGACCTAGAAGAAGCTTCTGCCTCCTGGTTTCGGATTAGCCCAGCTCCAATCACTGTGAACATTTGAGGAGTGAACCAGTAGATGGAAGACTTCTGTGTGTGTGTGTGTGTCTCTCCCTGTGTCTGTAACTCTGCCTCTCAAATAAGTATTTTTTAAAATAAGATGTTATGTTAAAGAAACTAGAATATCATTAATACTATCTAGTAGGCCCATTACTCAACCAAAAATAAATATACTTCCTGCTCTCTTGATCAAAATTATTTCTAACTCTATGAACTTAGTTTTAAATATTGGTGTATTCACACAATGGAATGCTGCTTTGAAATAAAAAATGAGAACACACCATTCACACATGTAACTATAAAATATGTCAAAAACCTCATACTGAGCAGAAGCAGTAAGCCAAAATGAAGCATACTGTATGATTTCATTAATACTCACTTCAAAATAGGTGAAACTAACATGCTAGAAATCAGAATATGGTTGTGGGAGTACAGTGAGGTGGATGAAAGGCAGCACAGAGGAACATAGTGGAGTGAAAGAAACGCTTTGTATCTTATTCTATATACCTTTGGTAGTGATACAGCTACATGCAATTCTCAGTTCAGTGAACCGAACACTGAAGATCTGTGGAGTTTTTGTACGTAAGTTCATTCTCCACCAAAAATAAACATTTAAAATTCACATTTCTTTGAGTCACCTGAAGGGCTCACTACTCACCAAGCAATTTCTTTTTACTGCAGAACATTATTGCACTGATCCTTCACCAGGTCTCAACAAGCGACCTACGTAACAAAACAGAAGAACACAACATTAGTACTTGAAAAATGCTCCATCACCATACATTTACACCTAGACAAACCACACGTTTCTCCCTAGACAAATCTAGATGGCTAGGAAGTCACTGATACTATAAGCAATATATTCAATTTGTCATTATTAACTCTATCCAGATATGAATTCTATACAGAAATAATCTTTCATATGGTAAATCCTACTAAAGACTTCAGAGGTACTTTGGCTCACTGGTTAAAGATGTCACTTGGGACACCCACACCCCATATTGGAAAGTGTGGTTCAAACCCTGGCTCCTTGCTAATGCACACCCTGGAAGGCAGCAGGTATTGGCTCAGGTCTTGGGTTGCCGCCACCCATGTGGGAGATTCAAACTGGGTTCTAGACTCCTGGCTTCAGCCTGGCCCAGGCCTGGTTGCAGGAATTTGGGAAATCAATCAGTAGATTAAAGATTTAAAGATTTTGGAGCCTATACTCCACCTGTGGCACCAGCATCCCATATGATTGCCAATTCAAGTCCCAACTGCTCCATTTCCAATCCAGCTCTCTGCTAGTGGCCTGAGAAAGTAGCAGAAAATGGCTCAAATGCCTGAGCCCCTGCACTCATGTGGGGGACCTGGAAGAAGCACCTGACCCCTGCATTCGATTGGCTCAGCTCCAGCTCCTGTCATTGCAGCCATCTGGGGAGTCAACCAGCAGATGGAAGACCTCCCTCTCCCCTCTTTAACTCTGCCTCTCAAATAAGTAAATCTTAAAAAGAAAAAGACTTAAAGATTTATCTTTCCCTCTCCATTTCCCTCTCCCCTCCCCTTCGAGTAAACTGAAAATAGATAAGTAAACATTTAGAATGGAAAAAGAAGCAAATCATTTCAAACATTCAGAACCAAATAGACCACAGAGATGAACACAAACACCTTTACACACCCAAGACGCAGTAGGCAGGGGTCCTGAATACCTGCTCTTTCAGACAGGAGAAATCACTTATTTGCTTCCTGCTTCAAGAACTGGTACAGCAAGATGTAGTAAATGCACATAAAGAAGAAGTTGGTCAGTCATACAGAGACCAGAGAAGGGGAAGAGCAATGCTTTGGCTTCATAATTATAAGAGAGGTTGCAGAGGAAGTTCATCAACGCCCACTGCTCCAATTACAAATCCCCCAGCATCTAAAAAGCCTGAGCCATCAGCATTTCTCCCTGTTGTCCCCTCTGGGGTATCCCTGACAAATAGAGACACTGACAACTTACAGAACCCAGTGCTTCTCTAGAGCCCAAGTGACTCAAGTTGATGAATCCAAACAAGAAGGTAGGGGTGCTACTACCAGATGCTTCTAGAAGCAGGGCTAGGTCCTCAAAACCTGCTAGTAACTCCTCTGTTCCTTCCTCCACACCTTCTACCAGCTACAACCAGGGCTGTCCAAAACTGTCCCTCCTGGGGCCAGCACTGCGGCATAGGAGGTTAAGCCTCTGCCTATGGCACTGGCATCCCATATGGATGCCAGTTCAAGTCCTGTCTGTTCTACTTCTGATCCAGCTTTCTGCTATGGCCTAAGTCCTTGGACCCTTGCACCCATGGTGGAGACCTGGAAGAAGCTCCTGGCTCCCGGCTTCAGATAGGCCCAGCTCCAGACATTGCAGCCATATGGGGAGTGAATCAGCAGATGTAAGACTTCTCTCTCCCTCTTCCTCTTTCCCTCTCTCCTTCTCTCCTTCTCTCTATAACTGTCTCACAAGTAAATAAATAAATCTTAAAAAAAAAAACTGCCCCTCCTACCCTCTCCTCAGTACTCCCCACCCCTCAGCTCAAGTAGCAGTTGCCTCTTAAAACATTCCTGCTGACCAGGGATTGCTCTCACCCTACCTGCCTACACACACACACACACACACACACTGCACACTGTTCCTCCTAACAAAAATCCCTTGTTCGAGAGCGGAGAGAAGAATGGAGGGGGGAGAGGGTGAAGAGGTGGGAGCAGGGTAGAGGGGGAGAGGAGGCAGAGGGGGTACTCTATCCAAGTATACCACATGGGTGATGGGTGTCCAGTACTTGGGACATCTTCTCCTGCTTTTCCAGGCCATTAGCAGGGAGGTGGGTTAGAAGCAGAGTAGCTTAGACTTGAACCAATACTCTGATAAAGAATGCTGGTATCAGAAGTGGCAGCTTAACCCAGTGCACTGTAACATGGGCCCCAGGGTCATGTTTATAAAAGGAAAATGACATCATGTTATTCCCATGCTAAAATCCCTCTAAAGGCCTCTAGGCAGCCTAAGAAAAAAAGACCAACTTCTAATGTGACTCCTAGGACTTTGGTAACCTGCTTCCTGCTTATCATTCTAGCCTGATTTCCCATCAGCCCATGTCTTCTTGCTCCTCCTCATGTCTACACTCCAGAAACACTCAATTTAGTTTCTTTCCATTTGGGGGCCTTGACCCGTGTGCTTCCCTCTGCCGGTAACTATCTAACTTCACCTCTACTCCCTCACCAGACGAACCACCACCCACCTTTCCAGTACAAATCCTCCTGGAGACCTTTCCTGATCCACTTTTTTTTTAACTTTTATTTAATGAATATAAATTTCCAAAGTACATCTTATGCATTACAATGGCTTCCCCCCCATAACGTCCCTCCCACCTGCAAAAATCCCCTTTCCCACTCCCTCTCCCCTTCCATTCACATCAAGATTTATTTTTGATTCTCTTTATATACAGAAGATCCTGATCCACCTTACAAGTCAGAGACAAGAACACTTCCATGTGCTCCCACTGAACCTGGTGCGACCCATTGCAGGCCCCCATCACTCTAAAATGTACTTTCCAATTACACTGGCTATCTCCCCATTACTCCACAAACTTCAGTAGGTCCAGGACATCGCCTGTCTGACCTACAGTTGAATCTCCAATATCTAATACCTGTCTAGCGCCTAACAATGCCCTATAAACATTGGCTTAATGAAAGATGAATGAATGAATGAGGTCCCCGGTTTCTACGAGGAATGCAACAAGAGCTTCTAGACATGGAAAGATATGCCTTTCAGCAGTTATGCCGTCCAAGGCTCCCAGACCTGAGTGCCTGAGAGCCTTAGATCTGCCTTCCCAAGCTGGAGGTAGCAGATTTCTGGGCTACTCCCTTTCTCTGTTGGACCCCATTCTGTTCTCTGCACTCCTATCTATAACTTATGAAGACCCTCAAATGATGAGCCAGATTTGATTGTAATAGGAAGAATGTTGCAGGCCAAAGAAGGGGGAAGTAGGAAGATCTTGGGGGAGATGGACAATGAGCAGGCCCTGTTGCAATAAAGGAAAATTTGCAACAAAGATTTTTATAGGGCAAGTCCTTCCTGTGAAAACTAACATGGACAGAAGTGAGTTTCCACCCAGGAAGTGCTTTCTTTGTTGTTTATTTCATAAAACAGTCACAAGCAGAAGAAAACAGTCACAGCAGATCCAAAATGGTATCAAGAAGGAAGACCTGAACCCTGTGGTAATGACATCTGTCTGTGGTGGGCCCCTCCAGCCAGAGAGCGAGGGAGCGTTCCTCAGCAAGTTCTAACACGACTTGTCAGGGCTCGAAAGTGTTCTCGGGGGACTAAGTCAACACGTTCTGTTTTCATGGGCGCTGAGTCCCTGGAGCAGATGAAAGGAAGAGCAATCCTTTGAGGAAGATGGCGACAGGCACTGTACACCCTGACAGAAAGCAGTGCGCACACACACACAAAGCTAGCAGGAGTACTGGCCCCGGCCAGCTTACCCTTTCTTTCTCCTTGCTGGCTTGCTAGATTGGTTTTCAAGAGGAAACTGAATATATTTGTATGATATGAAAATAACTAAAGAGGAAACATCCATGTAACCCCTTCCCTGTGTTATTTTAGATCTTCCTGCTAGCACTTCACATTTTAAAAGCTAGTGGACAAGCATAAAACAATATCATATTCTTATTAAAATTACTTTTAAGTCATATGGCTATGTTGTTACTGTTAATTTTCTAATGCAACCTTCAAAAATATCTTTAAAATTTTGTTTGGAAATATTGAATAAGTCCATGTTTAATTTTAGCCATCTTTGTTTTTGTAGATAATGCTCATATTCTTTTAAGATTTCTTTATTTATGCATTTATTGGAAAGAACGTCAAAGAGAGAGGGAAGGAGGGAGTAAGCAAGAGGGAGGGAGAAAGAGAGGGAGGGAACAGGTGGGGGGGAGCGTGTGGGGGAGGAAGAGGAAGAGAGAGGAGGGGGAAGGGGTGGGGAGAGAGGGGGAGAGGAATGGGAAGAGATGGGGAGGGGGATGGAGAGGGAGGGGGAAGGGATAGAGAGGGAGTAGGTGGAGAGAGAGGGGGAGGGGGTGGAGAGGGGGAGGGGTGGAGAGAGAGAAGGAGGGGGTGGAGAGAGAGAAGGAGGGGTGGAGAGAGAGAAGGAGGGCGACAGAGGATGGAGAGACGGAGGGGAGGAGAGACTGGGAGGGAGATGGGGTGGGGAGATGGGGGAGACGGGGGTGGGGAGAGATGGAGGGGAGACAGGGGTGGGGAGAGATGGAGTGGGGGGAGAGATATGGAGGGGGGATCTTCCACCTGCTGGTTCACTCCCCAAATCTCTGCAACAGCAAGGTATGGTCCAGACAGAAGCCAAGAGACCATCCTGGTCTCCCTCATGGGTGGAGGGACCCAAATACTTGAGCCATCTTCCACTTCCTTCGCAGGAGCATCAGCAGGAAGCTGGATCAAATGCAGAGCAGCCAAGACTCAAACCATTACTCCAATATGGAATGCTGGCATTTCAAGTGGCATCTTAGCCCACTGCACCACAACACTGACCCCAACATGCATATTCTTTACCTTATAATTAATCCAGAATAAACAGAATCATAGTTGTGTGCGTTAAACAATGTTTCTCTAAGATTTTCAGAAGTTATTACTTATTAATGCTGTAATTCAAGTTCTTTTACTCTAATATATAAAGTTCCAATAAGAAAATTAGCATTTAAGTTTATGTTTCCCC